TTTTCTTATATTTTATTGTTAGGCGCGCCCCATCTCTCATTACATTCGGTTTCTGATATGTAATTCTGGACTTCTTTAAGATTGCTGTAACAGTGAGAAAAGTCAAAATAGTTCCTAGTAAAAGCATAGAAGCCTCTATATTAACCTCCCACAATAGCAACATTCCCAAGCCAAAGTCCAGAAAAATCATACCTCTCCGAATTTCTCTCATTACATTCGGTTTTTGATATGTAATTCTGGACTTCTTTAAGATTGTCCCAAGCCAAAGTCCAGAAAAATCATACCTCTCCGAATTTACCATCCTGCAGTTCTGAATCCGCCTTGTAGCCAAGGGGTCTCCGCGGTGCTGGAGATGTTAACAATTCCCGGGTTTCGGCACCATATGTCCCGCGCCTGTTCTGTATTCCTCGCCAGCAAGAAATACACGCAGGACACTCGGATCCTTCTGCAGACAAGCTTTAATGCATTAGACTGAACAGAGACTGAACAGAGACTGAGCAGAGACTGAGCAGAGACACTGAACCAAGAAAACCATCCCTATATAAAAGGCTGACCAGCCGCCTGGGACGTATTACCCTATGAATGGCTTCAGCTCCTCAGGCAAAAATGAGCCACGGGATAGGCAGAGATCAAAGGAATGGAGATTACCCAGCGCCAGTGAAGTAATTCACACCTTGGTGTCTTCAGGCCCTTATTTACAGTGGGATTTCAATTTAATTGTTTCTTCTAGTTAAAAAAAAAAAAAACTAGCCTGATCATGGTAGCACATATCATTAATCATGAACTCAGAAGACAGATGCAGACAGATCTCCGAGTTTGAGGCCAGCCTGGCTTACAGAGCAAATTCTAGGACAGTGTCTTAGTTAGGATTTTGGATTATGGAAACTGTTAAATTAAACAAATATACATTTTTTTTGGGGGGGTTTCAAGTCAGGGTTTCTCTGTATTGCTTTGGAGCCTGTCCTGGCACTTACTCTGTAGACCAGGCTGGCCTCAAACTCACAGAGATCCACCTGCCTCTGCCTCCTGAGTGCTGGGATTAAGGGCAAGTGCCACCAACTCCTAGCTCACAGCAACTCTTACAAAGAAAAAAACATTTAATTGGGATGCCTTACTTTTCAGAGGTTTAGTCCATTATCATCATGGTGTGGGGTGTGAAATGGTGGTGTACAGGCAAACATGGTGCTAGAGAAGGAGCTAAGAATCCTACATCTTGATCTGCAGGCAACAGGAAGTGGTCTGTCTCACAGAGTGTAGCTTGAGCATAGGAGACCTCAAAGCCCAACCCCACAGTGACACACTTCTTCCAACAAGGTCACACCTACTTCAACAATAATGCCACTCCCTATAAGCTTATATAGGGAGCCAATTACATTCAAACTACCATAGACAGCCCAGGGCTATACAAAGAAACCCTGTCTTGAGGGTAGGTATTTGTTTTTATAGTACTTGTTTGTTTTTACAGTACTTTGGATGGGATCAGGGCCCCAAGCAAGGCAAATGCTCTAACACTGAACTGCATTCCAGCCCGACTTAATTATTGCTTCAAAGGACACACCTCAGGGCTGAGGCTGAAGCTCGGTTGGTAGTATACTTGCCTAGCATGCACAAGGTCATGGGTTCCCTCCCCAGCACCAGGTGTAATCCCTGCCCTAGGGAGATAGAAACAGGAAGATCAGAATTGCAAGGTCATCTTGGTTTGCATAGTGAGTTTGAAGCCAGCCTGGACCTATATGAAACCCTATTTAAAAATAAATTAAAGCTATATATCCAAATCCTGTATCCAAATCCTGTCACATCTTGAAGAATCGAGGTTTGAGGCTTCAATATGTAAATCTAGTGGCACATACAGCTTATCTCAGGAAACAAAGTGGAAAAATATGAAAGCTTCGGTGAGCTGCTCAGCTAACCAACCCTGCGTGCACTCACTATTGGACGTCTGAGGAGCCACCTGTGGTCGGAATTGGCTGTTTCTCACAGCTTGGAGCCACGTGTTTGCTGAAGCTGCTCCCTCCGCCTAGAGTAAGCTAGCCTGTGTTCACCCTTCAAGGCTGAGCAGGAATGCCTTCTCACGCCAGCTGCTTGCCACACAGCAGCTCTTCTAGGTCAGGTGCCACTCACATTTCCCCTCCCGGCCTATGACTCCCTTTGACAATAACCTTTTCTTCCTCCAGGAGGGCTCAGAGGTGATTTTTATAATGCTCTCCACGGCAGTCCCGGCGGGCGGGCAGGCGGCTGATTTAGCCGGGGCTGAAGCCTGACAGCCATGCTGATGATGCTGACAGTGGGGACTTTGCTGGCCCCACTTCTCTCATTTTTGATTCGCTGGCGGATCTCAGTAATGTGTGCTGCCATTATGTTTCTGTTCCATTTGTCCCTGGAACAACTTTCTAAGGACAGCACCATTATCACCCTGCTTTTAACACATGAGGACTCCCAGGCTCTGAGACACGAAGTAAATTGCTCAAGGTCATTCATGATTGAACCTAGGTCATCTGTCTCCGACTGATTTACTGACACTAAGCACTTAATCTATTCATGGCTCTGGGGTGGGTGCAGCAGCAACACAGAGGCCATTTTGTCTTTCTAGGCGTCTCTAAAACACTCCCTGTCTTAGTTGAGATTCCAAACAGTGATATTTGGTCCTATTAGTGATTCTTGAAATAATATAAGGTCCAATTTTATAGTTGGGGAGGCAGAAGCCCAGTAAAAGGGAAAGGCTTGCAAAAGCCAGTTACTGAAACACCAGGGACAATCCGTCCTAGCCTGCTATCACAGCAAGGGTGGGAATTCCAAAAGGACTCAAACTGTCAAGTAGCAATTCTGATGCTTAGAGTAGAGTCAGGGATGGGTTTGCACATCCTGGCCTCTTTTCATTGGCCCAACAGGCTGAGTGAAGGTCTCATGTCTTGGTGCTCAGACATGACAGGCAGGATGTAGAGGCTTAGGAGGGAGAGGCTGTAAGTCTGGCACCAAACTGCCTGGAGCATTTCCTTTCTGATGTGTGGAGAGAAACAGGAACGAATGGCTAGGGCTGGGGGTCTCCTGTGACTCCCACACCCAGAAGAGAGCCCTGATCCCTGTATACCCACCCTTTCAAAAACACCAAGCAAAGAGAGCCTTTGCACTCGGTCTTTACTATTCGTGGCGCTCATGTCTTCCTTGCTACCCCTGAATGGCAAGGTAGGGCTTTGGGATCACCTTTTCTTTGGTGAAGCCCAGAGCATAAAATATTCATAACAGCTAGGGACATCAGCAAAGCAATTCCAGGGCTCCAGCATCCAGAACCTGGGCTCTGTGGCAGGTGTGCATGGGCCCCTCAAAATGTTCCCAAGTGTGCTCAATAAGGCACCCAAAAGGTGAGCACCCCAGTAGCATGGATACTAGACTTTAGGTCCAGCCAAGCCAGAAGGCCCAGTGTCTCACACTCACTGTATATCACACACACACACACACACACACACACACACACACAGAGTTTGCTGAGCACACCACCTGAGTGACCTTCAGCCAGGATCTACACATGAGACTGGATTTTTAAAATTTTATGTAGCAAAAATCATGCTTCCCAGATACAGTGATGAGTAAGAGACAAAATTACCAAAAAGACAGTTAAGCAGCTCAGGAGCCATAGATAAGGAAATAGATTTTTTTTTTTCATTCCCAGAGCTAAGGACAGACTCCAGGGTCTGCAGGCTGCTAGGTAGAGCAACACCTTCAGCTCTAATAGTTAATATTTACTGAGTGCTTAATATATTCCAGGAACTCTTTTAAGTGTATTTAATCCTAGGCAAGCTACCATGAGGTCAAGCTGAATGTGGAAACTGAGGCACAAGTGGTTAAGTAAGTAGCAGGCAGCTAGGCCCAGAGGCACCCATATACCACCTCTCTGAGAAGTAATGATCATTATTATTAATTTAATCTTAAATTGCTTGGAACACAGTTTGAAGCCCTCCCCCCCCATCATTCATTTCTTACAGAAAGGCTGGGTTTTCTCCTGGTGTATACAGAGAAGCAGGCAGCAGGCTTTAAGAGAGGCTTTTACTGTCTTACCTTACCAATGTCATCATCCAACAAAGTTGGTGGCAGACCATAGGAAATGATCCAAATGTGACCACCAACTGGGGGGGGGGGAGAGACCCTCCTCGGTCTGCTGTATCTGCCTTGGACACCATCTTTGGCTCCCACCCTCTAGTTACAGAGTCCTAAAGTAGTGTTCTCCATCTACCCCAACCCCCACCGCTAGATAGGAGGGGCAGGAACTCTGGTATTGGTGGAGTTTCCGACCAGGCAGGAAAAAGAACAAAGGAAATGGAGGGGGAGTCTGACGGGGGTGGCCAGGAGGTGGCAGGAGCAGAGCAGCTGCTTCACCATGGAATATGAAGCCAAGAAAGGGAAGAAGGTAGGTGGGAGTCTGTGAGGGACAGGGTTGGGAAATGGTCCTGAAGTTGGGGTAGAGAAATGAGCTGGCACGGAGGTGACAAATGGCACATGTAGGGTCTTCTTTCTTCAAAAGGATCTGCCTTTCTGTTCCTGGCAGCCGGACATCTGGGCTCTGCTCTAAGCTTCACTCTTAGTGGCCTCTGCCATGTTGTCCTGAGAGACAGCGGGGGTCTTCCCAGGAAACCTGCTTCCTAGACATTCTGTAGTAGCTTCCTACAGCTTCTCAGAGAGAGGGACAGACATACACCCAGCAGACACATTCCTTCCTCAGCCAAATAGAAAGGCCCAGTAAGGTGATTCTAAGCTGGCAGATTCCCCAGACAGACTGGGGCCTCCCACCTGCTCCCTGGCTGTCTCCCAAGCTACACCTGCCCTCCTGCCTTTGTGCAAGAGCTCTATCCTCAGCCAAACCATCCCAAGTCCCCTCCCCATCTTCCTCCTTTTCTGAATTTGAATGGTTTTCCTATTTGTTGCTATTCCAACTCCTACTCCATCCCCATCCTCCCAGAGCCCTCTTCCCCCAAGAAACCTGGTTCAGAATGCTTTAGAAGGTACTCACATGAGGCCAGTATGGTGGCACAGGCCTGCAATCCCAGCTATATGGAGACTGCGGCAGGAGGAGTACAAGTTTAAGGACAGGCTGGGTAACTTAGTAAGAAGCTGTGTAGAAATTGTGAAAATGGGCTGGGGGTGCCCCTTCATGGCCAAATGCGTGCCTAGCACGCATGAGGACCCAGGTGTGATACCCAAACTGCAAATTGATAGCCAGAAATTTATGCGCAAGAGAGCTGGGAGCATGGTTCAAAGGTATCTGTGTGAGACTCCAGATCATAATCCCCAGTACTGACACACGAAAGTGTGCCTCATATGAATTGCCGGGGCCAACATATGTGCATGTCATCTCTTGGGTCTATGTATTGATTTATGAGACAGGGGTCTAGCCATGTAATCCAGGCTGATCTTGAACTCACTATGTAGCCCAGACTAATCTCAAACTCACAGCTACTCTCCTGATTCAGCCTTCTGAGTGCTAGAACTCACTCAGTAAGGCCCATTCTTTTGATAGATACTTAATGAGCACCTGTTATGTGCTATGAACTGTGCCTTGTGCTAGGAATGACAGTGATGAGCAATGTCAAATAAGGTCCTTACTTCTTCCTGGGAATTCACAGTCTAGTGAGGAAAACAATTACGTGTTTTAAAGGCAGCATTTGGAATTAATGTAAATGTTGCACAAAGCCACTGTGCTCAGTGCTGGATGATGGAGCATTAGGGTATCCAGTCTTAGATTGCTGAGTTGGGCATATGAGCTGATGGGTACAGGGAAAACAAGTAGGGAAGAGTGTTTGGGGCTACAGAACAGCAAGTTCCTTCCTTGGTAGGAATTAGAGAACAGCTGAGGGACGGGAACAAGGAATACTGTATAGTAAAATGGGGATGGAGAGGGGGCCAGGGCTGGACACTGGGGCAGACAGACAGACAGACAGACAGACTGACAACAGACAGATGAATTGACAGACGGATGGACGGGAACACACACCACTCACGGATGCAGGAAACAGCCTAGCTCTAGTTAGCACCGAAGGCTCTCAGGACTTGTCTTTTATAATCCAGCCATGATAGATGGACTGCTCTCGGTGCGGTGCCCTCAGACTCCTCTCCCTCCACTTTTGAAGTCCCTGGGGCCTTGTTCATCTGTGTCCTCTGCTTAGAAAGCTTCTCCCAGACTTCTGGTTCTCATTTTTCAGAGCTTCTGAATGCCTCTGCAGACCCCATGATGGTCCCTCGGAGACTTGAGAGGCAGTATGTCAGAGTCACTGAGACATGGGGTCTCAGCTCCAGGCTCTGATGCACAGGTCAAAGCCTGTACCTGTAATCGGCTCCCAGGTTGTGAAACCACACTTGAGAACCACTGGTCTAGATCCTTGAGATGCAACGTGAGAACTGGGGAGATGATTCAGTTGGTAAAGTGCTTGCTGCACAATAATGAGGATCTGAACTCACACTTCTAAAAAAGCTGGTGTAAGCATACCATTGTAATCCCACTGTTGGGGAGACCAAGACAGCAGATGGCTGCAGCTCACTGGCCAGCCAGCCTGGCCTGCTTGGTGGACAGTTCCCGGCAACACCTGAGGTTGCCCTATGACCTCCACAGGTGTGAATGTGACATGCACCCACACACATGCAGGCACATACACATGCACACACACACACACACACACACACACACACACGCACACACACACACACACACGCACACACACACACACACACGCACACACACACACACACACGCACACACACACACACACACGCACACACACACACACACACGCACACACACACACACACACGCACACACACACACACACACGCACACACACACACACACACGCACACACACACACACACACGCACACACACACACACACACGCACACACACACACACACACGCACACACACACACACACACACACACACACACACACACACACAGTATTGATACCCCCTATGACTTGTTAGAAATGAAGTCTCAGGTCCCAGTCCAAACCTACTGAATCAGAATTCTCAAGCACAGTCAAGTCTGATATGTATGAGTTTAGGTCATTTGTCATTACCCTAGCGGCAAGACTGGGATCCAGTGTTTCCCGAATCCCGGCACCCGACACCCAGCACAGGGACATGAATGAGCAGGCGGACATGAATGAATATTTGTTGAATGAACATGTAGACTTGAGTGCACACTCCTAGGTAGCAGTTTCTCCTGTTTGTACTGTGGTAAAGCTAAGTAAACAGCATACAACACATGCTACCAGAATTTGTGGTTTTCTTGGCTGGGGCATATGTAGTCCCAGCGCCCAGAGCTTTAGGAACTGCCAAGACAGTTCTAGAAAGCCATCAGGGAGGGAAGCCCCCAGGGTTCCAGATACAGTAGGTCTAGGATGGGACCCAAGAAGCAGCTTTTCTCTCAGATTCCCAGGTTTTACTGCTATGGACCCAGGAATGCCTGTCTGGAATGGCAGCTCTAGAGCAAAGCTTACACGTTCTCTGAGCTCTAGTTGCTGCTAGGTTGTGCTGCACCCTGGAGTCTGCACCTGTAGCCTTGATCCATCCTGGGCCTTTTTATACTGGTGCCTCTCGATTTTACTTACACTTACTTATTGCTTATTTCTAACTCACAAACAGGCAATAGCTTAACAGATGCCTAAGTATCCTCTTTGAATCTGGCTGGCAGGAACATCACCCTCCCCACAGGGAGGTGTAGGAACTGGGATACCCCACCTGGACTGTCACCAGCTGGTGTCCTAGCTCTCAATCTGGGGTTTCGCTGCTTCAGCTAGAAAAGGGGAGCCACAGAGACTGCTCCTCCTGCAATTTTAGGAGGATTAACTTAGGTTGTGGGAATAGAACTGAGCTCCCGAGCACTCAGTAAAGCCACTGCTGTTGCTACTGGAACTCTCCTGTCTCCCCCAGGGCTTTGTGTCTCCCATCAGAAGGCTGGTGTTTCCGAAGGCTGCACGGCAGGCTGCCTTCAGGAGCAATGTCAGTCGCAGGCCCCTGCATTCTATGCCCCTTTATCCTCCTGACTACCTCATCGATCCCCACATCCTGCTGTGTGACTACCTGGAGAAAGAGGTCAAGGTGAGCATAAGAAGGTCGGGGGGGGGATTCACACCAACTCCTGACACACCCTGTGTCACATGAAGGAAGCTGTGACTCTTGGGGAACAGCCTCCTACCTCATAGCCACAGGCTGCATATCCTCAGCAGGTGACACCTACCCACTGAGCCCCCAGCGTTCCTGTCCTAATGTGGGGCTCAGAACCTACCCCCACAGGAGACAGGAGACGGAGTGGGAAACTGTGCTGTGTTCCCCAAAGCTCCGCCTACTCATGAGATTTTTGTCTTCAGTCTCCGGTTACTCAGTGTCCAAGTTAAAGGCAAGGGAGAGGCTGGGCATGTGACTTAGTGGTAGAGCACTCACCTGGCATTCTGGAGGCCCTAGGCTGCCTGTCCAGTACAGGAGGCAGGGCTGAGGTGCTGGTATTGGGAGGAGCCACAATGGAGGACTCTCGTACTACTCAAAAGCTTTACTTCTATTTCACAAGCACCATGAAGGAGCACTAGGGAGGGAAACAGGTCCTCATCAGCCAAAGATTGGTGTGAGGTAGGATTAGGGCATTTAACAAACAGGCTACCTAATCAAATTTAAATTGCAGATAAGCAATGATTATTTCTTTCGCATAAGTATGCTCCAAATGTTAAATGGAACTAAAAATACAAAAAAAAAAAAAGAGCTTAAAAACAAAATTGTTGTTTAACTGACATCTTGTGTTTTATCTGGCAATCCTATAAATAGAGAAAAACCAGAAAATGAATATGTTTAAAAACCAAGGGCTAAAAAATTACAGAATAAAAAGAAAAGATGTGAGTGGTGAGATTTGCCCAGAAAACTGCAATTTAAAGTAACAAAAAGTTAATTCTTATACTGAATAATAACATTTAAATGATAATGCTGCTATAACAGAATGGGTGGGGAACCACAGGCTGACTGAGAGCATCATCTTTTTCTTTTTGTTTATTCTTCTCTCATATAATACATCCTTATCACAACCCCCGCTTCCTTCAATCCTCCAGTTCCCTCCTCCCCTACCTCTCCTCTCCCTCAGAGCCACTGCTCCTCTGTTTCACCTCAGAAAAGAACAGGCCTCCCAGGGGTATTAAACAAACACAACGTAAGATGCATTAAGACTAGACACAAACCCTCATATCAAGGCTGGACGAGGCAACACGGAAGGAGGAAAAGGGTCCCAAGAGCAAGCAAAAGAGTCAAAGGCACCCTCACTCTTACTGTTAAGAGTCCCACAAAAACCCCAATCTAAACAACCCACAGCATGTGCACAGAGTCCTGGGGCAGCCCCCTGCAGGCTCTGTGATTGCTGCTTCAGTCTCTGTGAGCACCTGTGAACTCTGATTAGTTGATTCTGTGGGCTGTGCTCTCATGGTGTTCTTGACCCCTCTGGCTCCTACAATCCTTCCTCTCCCTTTTCCATGGGGTTCCCTGAGCTCTGCCCAAAGTTTGGTTGTGGGTCTCTACATCTGTTCCCATCAGCTGCCAGAAGAAGCCTGTCTGATGGTGATTGGGCTAGACACTGATATATGAGTATAGCAGAACAGCATTAGGAATCAATTGACTTTTTTTTTTTCCGTCAGTTTTGTTTGGTTCTATCCTAGTACTCTGAGTCATCCAGCTTAAGGTTCCTGGCTATCCCGGCAGTGTTGGGCATGGGCTCCCTCTTGTGATGTGGGTCTCAGGCTAGAGCAGTCATTGGTTGGCAACTCCCACAATAAAGATTTTTATTACCTTTATTGTTTGTTTGATTGAGACAGGGCTAGAACTTGAATGAGGCTGAATTCAGGAGTGATGGACTCATCTGTTTGGTGAGAAGACCTGGCTATCCTGGAACTTACTCTGTAGACCAGGCTGGCCTCGAACTCACAGAGATCCACCTGCCTCTGCCTCTACCTCCTGACAAGAGGGCATCATTTTTTTTGAAAGAAATGATATATTAATTCAATGCTTCTTTCCATTTAATCTACAATGTGGTTGTTAAAAGGATTAATAATGTGTGGGGTTCAGGGAGCCATTGGGCAAGAAAACTCCCAGGCTTCCTTCAAGATTTAATAGTAGAGTCTGGGGGCAGGTGTAGAGAGAGGAATGAATGGTTCAATGGGTAAATCGCTTGCTGGCTAATTTGAGGACCCAGGTGAAAATCCCCAACCCCCTGCAAAATCAGGTGCACACAAAACATGCACCTGTGACCCTAAAAGACCCACACAGTTGAGATGGGAGGTGGAGACGGAGAATCCCTGAGAGCACACACACACACACACACACACACACACACACACACACACACACCGCCTCCGACAATGTGGAAGGCAGTGCGCATCCCCTGACTTCCACACAGGTGCTGTGGCATATGCCTGCACTCACTCACAGGAACATGCACACACATAAACATGAAAAATGGCAGAGTCTGGCCTAGCATGCAGAGACACTCCAAACCTGATCTCCAGCATGGCAGTTGGGTGGCGGGCACTAAATTAGTGACTTTTGCTTCCTGCAGAACCTCATAGAGTGAGATGGCCATGTGTTAGTGCGTATCAGCTAGCTGTTGGAATGTGGGCTCTGGCACATGTAATCAATCAAGCCTTCTCTCTACCCCACAGAGCCTGATGTCACCCAGGGAGGTCTTGAACTTGCTATGTACCCAAGGATGACCTTGGACTCTTAAAGTTCCTGCTTCCAACTCCCAAGTACTGGATTAGCATGCACCACTACAACCTGGCCAGTCTTACCCTTTCTTGCTATAGTCCTGGGCCAGACTTTTAGTTAGCTATACTGTGTTCAGCCTTTTAATATTGAAAGCAAGGGTGAGTGGATGAGAGAAAATGTACATATGTGTATATACATATCTGTAAACTCAGAACTAGTCCTAGCTACAAGGTTATATTAGTCAAGGTTCTTTAGAGGAATAAGAATGAGAGAGAGAGAGAGAGAGAGAGAGAGAGAGAGAGAGAGAGAGAGATTGATTGATTAGAGTGACTTACAGGCTATGTTCCATCCAGTTCAGCAATGACAGTCTTGTAACAGAAAAGCCAAGAATCTGATAGTTGTTCAGTTTATGAGTCTCAACTGGTCTTCAGTCTTTGAGGAAGTCCTGAAGAATCAGGATCTAATACTATAGAAGAAATGCCTCTGCAGCAGGATAGATGAATTTGCCAGTGAGAGTGAGGGAAAGCCAGCAAAAAACAAAAGCTCCCTTCTTCCATGTCCTTTTACGTGGGCTGCCACCAGAAGGTGTGACCCACCGCCAGAAGGTGTGGCCCAGATTCAAGCTGGATCTCAGACTGCAAATAATACGATCAGGAGAATCCTTCACAGCAGTGCCCAGCTGTTTGGGTTTGAGTTGATTCCATATGTAGACAAGTTAACAGTCAAAATTTGCCGTCACACTGGCTATTATTAATTTGAGTATTTCAATACCTGTCCTGCATTAACGAGAAGGCTAGAATTCCCAAGGCTTCACCGTGACCTCTCATTTCCCATCTAGTTTCTGGGCCACCTCACCTGGGTGACTTCCTCACTGAACCCCTCCAGCCGAGACGAGCTCCTGCAGCTGCTGGACACCGCCAGGGTGAGGCGCTGGGGAGGAGGGAGGAGGGCAGGGTCTCCTTCCCTTTCCCCTCCCTTACCCCAATACCTGGGGACTCAGATGATCCGACCCACCCCGCAGCAGTTGAAGGAGTTGCCTCTGAAGACCACACCGGAGCAGGACAGCATCCTGAGCCTGTCTGCCCGCTGCCTGCTGCTCACCTGGCGGGACAACGAGGAGCTCATCCTGCGCATCCCCACGCACGAGATCGCCGCTGCCTCCTACCTGCAGGACGACGCGCTGCATCTGCTAGTGCTTAAAACTGGTACGGTGTGGAGGAGGGCGGTGGGAGGCCAGCCTGCCGTGCTGGGACCATTGAGTGAAGGGCACCAGGGATGGGTCCGAGGCTGGGAGAGGGATGGCAAGAAACCTGAGCACACTATTCTGAGACTAAGGGCGAGCAGAAGAAGCAATAGGCAAGACCAGAGAGCCAGGGATGAAGATGATGGGTGGGCAGCCTGATCAGATTGAGGAAGTTGGTTAGGGAGAAGTCGGAGTCCTGAGTTCAACGCAGGGCTGCATTAGTAGATGTTCGACATTAAAGGGGATGGTAGAAGACAAAACCCTTCGGCTCTGACAGTAGGGGGCACCCTCGGTGTAGGGGAGGACTCGAGTCTGGACTTGAAGGAGGTTTCAGTCAGCTATGGGGCGGGACTGAAGACAGCAGGGAAAGTCGTTCTAGAAGGCAGGGATACTTAGACCAGGGTCATTGTCCAAATGAAAGGGTACGGAGAAAAGGGACAACTTGGACCACCACCTTCAGCTCAGAAAGCAGGTCCCTAGGGTGTGTAGAGGGGGGTGGGAACTGTGCGGCCGCCACCCTCGAGGTCTGGGGCGGTGTCATAGGCTCGTTGTGGAACCCAAAAGTCACAGTCAGCCCCTGGGTGCTGGGCGGGGCCTTAGAGCAGGGACCCCAGAACCTCCGGGTGGCCTCCGAAGGCTGCAACCTCCGGCTGCTGACCCCCATCTCCGGCCTCCCCTAGGTCTGGGCGTGGACCCGGTGCC